TCATAGAGGTAATAAATAATAATAATAATAATAATAATAATAATAATAATAATAATAACATATGTCTATAGAAAAATTTCGTCTCGTATATTTTATTAAAGTATATATGTGACACAGTACATATTTTTATCATCATGATTTTTTATTGACCTTTTTGCTTTTACGTTTACTTTTGATATTAAAAAATGTCCTATCTTAGCAGCTTTTAGTTTAAAAAGGAGAGCAGTTTACTTTAAGCGTCTTTAATCGTATAAAATAATGAGATAAAGATATAAATCGTTTTCAATGTTTCTAAAGTCTGTCTTTTAAGATGAAATAATCTTCATTAAAAATCGCACCACGCGAGATGTCATCACAAACAAAATATCTGTAATTAATTCCGCTTATTATATTTCACACATTTCTGTCAAGGTCGATTCAAAACTGGTCATACCGGCTCGAGTCCAACTCGCAGATTTGCGTTCTTATATATAATACCGTGCTGTATCTCGAAAAACAATGTAAAGTTCGTTCCTTAGTAAATCGGGGATGTGATCGGGGATGGATTAAATATATTTACGAGAATCTAGAAAAATTGCAACCAAAACGTATGTAATTATATCATGTGCCTTTTTTTAAATATAAAGATTAAAAAATGTATGTTTCCTTTTACATACATACTATGCTAGATAATTGCCAGATATATTCATCCATTATGTTTGGCACTATATCGAACGTGGCAGTCAAGTACTTTATCCAATAATCTCGTTTATTTGCGTTTAAAAAGTATGTAAAAGTACGTACATGTATGTAAAGAGATTTTTTGTTCGATGTAATAGATTAATTTTTATAAATTATTATAAAATAATAATGAATTTCTCCTCCCTCTTTGCTCCTATGATCGGCAGATTTATATGCACGGATACAAAGCAAGGAAATGTATAATATATAGATAATATATTTTAATCAAAGCTAACATAAGAAAATTAACTTTAACATAATTATATTGGAGAGAATGGCATAAAATGTTGAATCGAGCGTTTAAAGAATTTCTCTTAAAGACATACAAAAAATAGAAAAAAAGAAGCAAGATATTAACTATTATGCTTAAATTTTTATTAAACATAATTTTAGTTTTACGTATTTGTAAACATTCTCATATTTATTAAAAAAAAAGATAATTGTTAATTAATATCGCTATCATCGTCACATATCGTACGGAATTTTGCTGGTGATAAAAAACTTGAAAACTTGAGTTTTCGCAACCGCTTAATCTACTCGTACTATTATGATGATTCGTGACTGAAATTTAAACAAATAAAAAGATACACGATGATTACTGAGTCACGCAAAATTAAACATTTTGTATTTCTCGCCACGCGCACGTGTCAATTCTTGACACACAGTCATATTTCAAAAGATACATTAACTTGATACATTACGTATATACTTATACGCGTAAGTAGTATGCATTTATATATTTATACAAAGACCATAAAAACTACCGGGTATTATTTACACTACAAATTCTTTGGCTATAAATCTCTAAATTTTTGACACGGATTCTGGAAATGATTTTCTCTCGACACAATATCGAAATGCAGACATAAGAGTAAGTAACAACTAAAAAATAAGAAACTTTTGACAAGTCAAGCTTCAAATGAGGAAAACGGATGACAAACTTATATTTTCCAATTAATTTTAAACACACAAACTATACTTTAAGAAAAATTTAAAAATATTTGGAGCTTACAATTAGTTTGCAAAGATGGACATTATTAAAAATCGGTAGCGACACGGAAATAAATATCAAAGACAAAATTAAGAATATTGGAAAATGATGAAGAGAGTCAGAGAAACCAAAGTATCCGCGAAAGCAATCGCGCGATAGCAAACGAGATTCACTGTCTCTCGAATAATTAGATCGAGTGGCTAGGCTCATTATCTAGAGGAAAGACATCAAGGCTCGACTCAAACGAGTGCTTACTTCTTCCTATTTCTACATCTGAAACAGACGGCCGATTGATTATTCTAACCTTGCCATGGCTAAATTAAAACGTGACCTAAATCATTAGAAAGAATGTTCAAGAAGGGAAAACTACAATTTTTCTATTTCAGATTCTTGTTTTTCTGGAAAAAAAAAAAAAAAACTTAAAAAAAGATGCAAATTTCGAAAAAAGTATCGAGAAAAGCTTTTAACAAGAGAGAAGCTTCGATAATAGCCAAAACACAAAGTTCTTGATGCGTAAATATATTATTATTAATTCTTCCTATAACGATCTCATCGAGGAAACAATGGTGAAAAAGGTTTGTTAAATACTTTAATCTGCTTTGTATAATCAAAATAACCCCCAATAAAGGCCGTAACGATAGCCTAAAATTATTATATACCGAGCTGGAGAAAAATATGACTTTATACTAATCGATTCACGCTACAAATAGACTCTGGCAGATTTATCATTCTTGTAATCGGTTGAAATTAACTGACTTGTGCGATGCGTATAAAGAATCGCAAGACGAGACATTCTCTAAAATTCAATCTGTGACTCACCATTCCGTGACAAAGACTGACACTGACCGCTGAACTTGGATCGCCATCGACTGACCCGCTGTAATAGCAACCCAACTGATGACCAGCATGTTCTCTTCTAGTTGTGTTCTCGCTCATATGCGTCACCTACGTCATCATCGTGTAAGAAATAAAATTAAGACTATCAATTAAGTAGGAAAATGATTGACTAGAATCGCGAATTATAACTCGTTTCGTTTTAACGCGCTTTCTCTCTTTGCTTTTACACAAAGGTTTTTTATTGGTCCAATAATTTTATAATAATTAGACATAGATAGATATATATGACATGATTTAATAACAGAGAGAGAGAGAGAGAGAGAGAAATGTTACTTGATCGATCTTTCTTACCTTTAGATCGGGAGATACGAAACTGGCGTCGTGCGCCAATCGCAAACGAAATCGTCTTCCAAAGGCGGTAAATTCGTATTGCGGATGAGGATCCCAAACTTCGGCTGACGTATGTCGAAAGTGACCACTGTGATGTCTCTTTGCCGTGGAAAATTCTTCGGCTGAAAATAAGAGACTTTGTTTCAAGTAGATCAAAATTCTTTGTTTTGTTTCAAACTATATGGAAAAAGATGATATGATGGAAAATAAGATGCTGGTAATTTATTTTTCAATCTCGTTATATTGGCGTATCTATTTTTCTGTGCAGTACTATGTCATAATTGAATTACTCGAGTTTATATGTGTGTGTGCGTGCGTGCGTGCGTGCGTGCGTGCGTGCGTGCGTGCGTGCGTGCGTGCGTGCGTGCGTGCGTGCGTGCGTGCGTGCGTGCGTGCGTGCGTGCGTGCGTGCGTGCGTGCGTGCGTGCGTGCGTGCGTGCGTGCGTGCGTGCGTGCGTGCGTGCGTGCGTGCGTGCGTGCGTGCGTGCGTGCGGTGCGTGCGTGCGTGCGTGCGTGTGTGTGCGTGTGCGCGCGCGCGTGTATGTTAATCATCATTTCTTAATATATTCATTATAGTTTCGTACATCAACAATAACAATATAGATTATTCTTTTTTCTTTCAAGTATTTTTACTGAAATGAAAAAAAAAAATTCACGAAGACTTTTCTTTAACATTTATTTTTACTGCATTATCTTAGGAGCTATTAAACTGTGGATATAAAATTTCTATATAAATTATAATATGTTTTTAAATACATTATCGATTTTAGAAACTCTTAAAGTGTGAAAAACACAAAAAAATATCTAATACTATTCTTACCTATATATGTATACATATATTAAAAACTTTGGAAAGAGCTATCAGATCTGAAAAGGGACAAGGAAAAGTTTGAGACTGTTTCTAACGTATAGCCACGCACTGTTATTAACAGTAAAACAGTAATGACAAACATGTAATAGATACTTTTACTATTTTATTTGTAGTTGATTCGATGGACTATATTTCTCTCATTCTATGTCTAAAACAAAATTGATATTGATACGCGCTGATGTGAAATTGATATTGTACGCGCTCGTTATCAAGAGCGGGCCATTTATACAATTAATAATTAATTGCCCGAATGTATCATTTAATTATGCTTGAATGACAAACGAATTTCGATATAATTGTGCGCATTAATTATTTTAAACTTTAGATATCATAGCAATCAAGGTTATGGCATATACAGTATGGATCATTTTAATCAATCCACTGAAATATTTCAGAGCCCTTAAGTTTAAGACAAAAATGTTTAAGACAAAAGTTGTTTGGTGTTGAGGGGGTCATTTGATATTGATCTTCATTTGACTTTTGTTCAAAGTCCAAAGGATTATTTCAATTTTATTTTTTTATATGAAACCCCCTATTTTTTATTGTATATCCTTATAACCCTTCTCGAGACCTTTTCAAAACACTATAATAAAGTATTTCTTCATTAAGTATTTTTCGAATAATTTTATATCTTAATCTGACATATTTTGATATAAAAAATATAATATATCGTAAAATATTTAGTTTTCGATAATCTTACCGTAATACTTTTATATACAGAATAATGAGACAAATCAATTGGTATAAAGAAAATAATTGTTTTTAAGAAAAAGTATGTAATTATTTACAATGTATTTTTTAAAACAATTATTTGTTTTTTTCTTTACACTAATTGATTTGTCTCATTATTCTGTACATAAAAGTATTACGATAAGATTATCAAAAACTAAATATTTTACGAGATATTTTAATTTTTATATCAAAATATGTGTGTCAGATTAAAATATAAAATAACTCAAAAAATACTTAATGAAAAAATACTTTATTATAGTGTTTTGAAAAATCTCAAGAAGGACTATAAGAATATGCAATAAAAGATAAGGTTTTATTTAAAAAAATAAAGTTGACTTTGAAATGTCCTCAACGCCTCCACTCATAAAATAATCGTTTCCACTATATGATGTCCCCCTTTATACTGAACATGTCGGTATAAACTAATTTTTTATGTCTTCAAATTTTGCTAATAATTAAATCGGTTACTTTATATGAATCACCCTGTATATGTATACATATATATACAGGAT